CATATTGGGCAGGATAATACCAAATGTTAAATGATGTCTATATCATGTTAACATTGATGGCAGCAATTGGTACGCTCTATTCTTGCAGGACCTGAAGTCAAGTGAACAGCTGGTTGCATATATGGTGCGCGGCCAAAATTGTCATTAATAACTCTCAGTTGTGGAACGACTGACGGTAGAGGTGATAGTTGATACGGAAGGAATTTCGTATTCTGCCTCGACGTCAGATGATTAAACTCAGCTGCAGGTATTAAAACGACCCAAGTTTTACCTTCTCTTCTTTATTTGTTGCATGATTTATGATAATTGTATTTACGTATAAGTGTGTCACAATTACAGGTCGAAGTCCATAACCGTTTAACATACATTAAGTTTGTATCAATTATTGGTTGCCTTGGACGGTAAAAAAATAAAGACCATCTTTCAACAAGTCAGAATATAAGATTCCAATTTTCGAATACAATAAAAAGTTAATCGCAAATAAAACTCGAGAAGGGCCTGCACCCCGCTGGCCCATCCGGGGGATTAATATTGAAATTTGTACATAGTGTAAACATTTGTCAGTGCCAGTCGTGTAAGTCCGCTGCAGAGATGTGAGATACAGAATCCAATCGAAATTTACAAACCCTTGTTCGCTTCGGCCATAACGTGGTAGGAGGCATCGAATGAAATTCTCCAATTCATTTCCTACAGGGGAATATAGCACTAACGTCATTAATCATAGAGGTGCTTGCGGTGTATTGGTTTGTGGGGATGTTTGGATGCAGTTTGCGATCGCCCGCTGAGTTCTCTCAGCGGAATCACAACAAATCATTTACGGCGTCCACCTCCGGTAATGAGAGCCGTCTGTGTTTGCAATTCATTTTTATGTGTTAACTCCAGATGAAATGCAGAAGAAACAACAAGATAATGGCATATAAACAAAGAAATAAAATCAATATGCCAGACGTATTCAAGAAATAGAAAATGGACTCGCAATATTAGTAAGTCAACACGATACTTCGAAGTTCACCTATGTCGCACATTATATCACGACTAAACATTACTCTTTATGGTTATTAGTGTACCCAGGCCATTTTAGTTTCCGTTCGAGACATGCCATACGCATATTTATATTATTACTTCAGTTTATCACATCGTTATTTGAGCGAACCTCAAACTCCAAGAAATGCAGGATCATTAAAATATTATTTATTCGAGACAATAATGAACGATCGAAATATGGTAATGGTGACGATTTACAAGTGATTAACGGTCAAACGAAGAGATTAAACATTAGCAATTCAAAGGAGCTCGATACTGTGCAAAAGGCCATAACTATAAATGTTTAGACAACAAAAGATGAAGCGACTATAAAATTTCACCATTTCCCCTTTGTGTGAGCAATTAGGCTAATGAAGAGGGCCGTGTTTCAGTGCAAATGAATAGTCCTTTCCCAGAGTTCTTCGCATTCACGGGCTCACCTTTCATGTGGGTAATTTACTGATGCCCGTATAGCTTTACTTGAATTAGTTAGCAGCGGTGAATCCGACTCATGTCTGCAAACCATTCCATTGAGCGCCACTCACAACATATTTCCTTTCATATAATATTTCATTATGACCCTTTCTGCGATATACTTTTGCTCTTAAATGAAATTTGTTCTATAATCAGTGTTATGGATGACCGAATTAAGGAAAAACTGTGTAACGGAGATAGCATTGATAGATGACTGTCACAACCGAAAATTCAACAAGAAATAATGCGAAGAAAATAGACCGCTGAAAGATGATAAGCAATAAATAACGATCAATCTCGAGGAAAAGATAAACAAAAGCAATTTATACGCAAATATGTCAGAAATTGCTGATTTATATAGCGCGAAAAGAAGGCACTGAAGGAGGGAAACGTTGAGGTTAACCAAACTGCAGCTCGGGGCTATTTATCAAAACGTTCGATAAACAAAGTAGGAAATTGAATCCGAATCAACGCGGGCCACGCATGATTTATTGGCCTTATAACAAAGTATGGATTGATCATTCCATTTGGTATATTGGTTCAGGACCGCCAGGGGAGCTGACCGGCTGGTGTCATTAAATATTTAATAGCCATTCATATTTTGTACTGGCCGCGTAAACAACAGCGAGTTCATAGGTATGAATTTTTAAAAGGATTTCGTCCAAATTAATTCCCTTAAATAATGTAACAAACTGTCATTTGTTTTTTTTTACAAAACAAGAACAAACTGTAATTTGTTTTTTTACTAAATAGTTATACGCTCGTAGTAGATAACATAAATAGGATTTGTAGAAGTAGGTAAAAATACGATTACTTCGTAAACAAAACGGCCTGTGTCCAATTTAGCATCAAAGGCATTAAGATATGAATTTTTAAGTCAATGTTACGTAAGTATACCATAAAATTTTAGGCTTGTCTATATTTAGACGATATGATACGAGCCAGATGGTCACGGAGCCCGATTTTAGTATCTCTTGAATCTTTTAACGCGACCGCCCAGAGACGGACCCTTTGTGTTTCTTATCATGTAATTCGGTCCATAAAATTTTGACTGCTGACGGAAGGTGGGACGGGTTTCAATAAGCATTACCGTTGGCCGTTTAGTTCATGTACTAGGGACTTCGTAGGGAGCTTTGATTTTTGGTTACGCATAATGAATATCTTAACGGAAAGCGCATTATGGGATAGATTATGAGACTACGTTCCGAACAATTATGACGGCTGCCGGAAAGATAACCTTTTCTCTGTACTTGCACTGTCCTGCGTCAACAAGCTCCCAGATAACTGATAAATAAATTCCCCGCTTACTCTCGAAACTTAATAGTTTTCTCGACTCTTCGCCGAAGAGCCACTTATTTGTGAAGCGTATATAATATGAATTAAAAATGTACACAGAAAAGAATAACGGATAGCAAACGGTTTTCTGTTAATTTAGTAAAAATAACTTGATTGTATAATCTAATATATAAAATTCTCGTGTCACAATGTTCGTTTCCATACTCCTCCGAAACGGCTCGATCGATTCTTATGAATTTTTTTTATGTATATTCAGTAAGTCTGAGAATCGGCAACTATCTATCTTTCAAACCCCTAAGTGATAAGGGGTGTCCACCCAACAAAAAAAAAAATTTAGCCAATGTTTTCTGTTTTTACTTTTTATGATACAACATACAAAAATACATATAACCCCTAGTGTTCACCCTTCTACGATCATCCCCTATTTTTTATTATTGTAGATAGTTATTTTTATTAAACTAAAAAATTTTTTCCTAGAAATAATATACAAAATGCAAAATGGTTGCCGGGTCAGCTAGGAGTTTTATGATATTTTTAGTTGAAATTTGGCCATAAATGGGGTGTAAATAAATAAATATACATAGTTCTGAACGAAGGATGTTTATTTTTACCTCGGCATCTGGTAACGAAACACACGTTCAGAATAATTAACATGTCTTTCGTGTTTCATAAGTTCTCTCAAGACGGCATATGGAGAAGTTATCATTTCGTAATTTCTGTTGGATAAAGTTTGCCTTGCTAAGTTTATTTCCACATGTTCATTGTAAATTATAATATAATGCCATCAAAAACATAACTTGTAAAAAAATCCAAGTCTCGCAGCGCAGTTCTAGCGTAAAAAGATCCATGTAACAAGTCGGTCAATTTTTTCACTAAAGGGACTTTCTGTCTTATGTTATTACGTAATTAGCTAACCTACCAACATCTTATAGTCATCATCCATCGCATGGAAACACAATGTATCTCACAAGTAATACATGTTATATTCAATTAGATTATTAAGTTCAGGCTTATAGGGGGTTGAAAATGGCGTGAACTGTACTATCCTAGTACGGACGTGCCGAATTTTCATACAAAAGTCTTCGAATTTCTGAATAATATGTTGGAACAGTGAACGGTATAGTGCATGGCCTAGTGGCTTCAGCGTGCGACTCTCATCCCTTAGGTCGTAGGTTTGATCCCCGGCTGTGCACCAATGGACTTTGTTTCTATGTGCGCATTTAACATTCGTTCGAACGGTGAAGGAAAACATCGTGAGGAAACCGGCTTGCCCAAAAAGTCGACGGCGTGTGTCAGGCGCAGTAGGCTGATTACCTACTTGCATATTAGACTGAAAAATGATCATGAAACAGATTCAGAAAACTGAGGAGCTGACCTAAAGAGGTTGTGTCGCCACTGATTTTTTTTTTGTTTTGGACCAAAATGGACAACGCAAACTCATCGGCAATCAAATTCAATACCCAAATATAATAAGTTCTAAAAACAATTATAGAAAGTATTCTTGATGTTTAAACATACAATGTATTAAACACGAAAAAAACTTCAAAATTCAGCATAATTAGTCCCAAATACTTGTGTAGTATTTAAAATTCACTGCAGTCATTTAAAATATGTGACCTACATTTTTATATGTACTCTGCGCTGGAGAGCTTTGAATGAAATTCGTAGAATTTTAAGCTTTACATTATGTATGAAATATTTTTAATACCCAGTAATGTTTGGCATTTTATTAATTATCTGCATTTTATTACTATTTATTAATTTAGTGCTGATGTCAGCCTTGTCGTGAATAAATACCACCAAATTCACCTACTAGATAAGGGATAAGTTAAAAGTACCCACAACGAGCATGCATGGTGAATCATGAAAGATGAAGCAAGAAGGTATGTTAGGGCTGTGGAGATTTGTGGTCTCTGCCTACTTCTTCGGGAATAGGCATATAAATAAAATAAACTATTTTTTTAAAATCAGTTAAGTAACAAACAATGTGTGGTCTTCGTGGTAGTAAACATTGATACTTTACAGTAATATATATAATATATAATTTTTATACTTTGATATCTCTATATAATATATACAAAATGATTTAATTACAATGAATAGTGATTAATTCGTGATATATGAAGCTTTCGGAATTTGAAAAATAATTATCATTTGTCGTAAATATTTCAGCAGAGATATTTTTTTAGATATATCATATCACATACCTCCATGGACTCCACAGAAGTCGCCAATGCAGTCAGCGTGTTGAACCTGGGCTCCAGAGCACGTGTCTCCAACACAGGACCTTCGCCTGGACTGTCGGCAGTCTGAACCACATTCAGACCACTCTGTCCAGCTGCCCCAACGACCAGAGGTTCCAGGGGATGCTGTAACAATAAAGTTGTTAATAGTATTATCTAAAGTAGTTTCTAGAATATTTGCTCACAAACATTACACTTGTAGCAATGAGGACAATTAGGTACTTATGAATAATGTTATAGAAAGGATATATATATATATATATATATATATATATATACATGTGTGAAAATGACATGAGAACTTCAAAAGGCGCTGCGCTAACCAGATCCATGCAACTTCCTCACAATCGAGTACCCCGCAATATCGAAGCACAACTCACGAGGGGACTGTTTGTATTGAAGTCGCATGGGTCAGCCAAGCATCCGCAAAGATACAATAATTATGTAAGAATAAAGAAAATAATAATAGCAAATAACACAGCAAGGTTTCTAAAACGACACGTATTAATAATAGTATTGGTTATTTTTGTATTCGCTGGCTAAGTTGGACTGCCACATGTAAATTTTATACTGGAGTGACACATGTAGGTATTAATTAATAATTCCCTTCCGACCCGTTCTTTATTCATTTCCAAGGTTGAAAATCAGCAGAATTTTCCAAATTCCATCTTCAAAAACCAACCTAGTTCAGATACCGCTCATTCGAATTATTCGCAAATATAACATAACATAATAAACACTACATATTCAGAGCTTGACATATATTCAGTAGTGGGCTGATAAATATTTGCCTTAATTGTCAGGTATTTCAGAAAAAATTGCTTGTAACATATACTATGGATATAGCATTATATATGTGGTGAGCTTTTAATAAATAAATTAGGACAATTGTGAAGTGAATTATTACCTAAAGTTAAATAATAATTAACTAACATATGAGTATATTCAAATTTCGGGTAAAATTCATATAATTTTGCGGTGCGGTCGCGTTTAATATTCATAATAGAGAATCAAGGCAGAGAGCAACTACTAACAGTACAGGTTATAAATTAACAGTCTATATTTTGGAAGATTTACGTTTATAAGGAAATTATAGATATTGCGGCTCCTGTCACGTTTCTGGTGATGCTATTAGTAAATATGATTTTCACTATAACCTCTCGCATGCAACATATATATCGGAGCACCAAAGCTATTCATGTGATAACAAAACTCATTATAATCAAGAGATGTATAGTGTGAAGGCGTATCAAACAAATTTATTCGCATTAATCACATCGCCTTATACGGAGATTGAGATAGGTGGGCGTTTTTTAATATTCCATCTGCCATAAATACACTGTGTTGAAGGGTAGGTCTTATTAAGAATTTAGGTCCTCGTTTATATATTTTTCGAGGATAAAAGCTTTTTGTAACTGATTTTGTTTTCGCTTGAGATGTATTCTTTATAATAGGGTATTAAAAAACAATTGAATAGTATAAATTTTGTCATCTTTGTAACGTATGTTTATTTTTATATGAATTTTAATTTCCAACACACAATTATAGGGTATTTACAATATTTTTTACCGACATAGTAATAATAATATTAAAAAATGGATAGATAGAAATTTCAAACAAATTTTAAAAGTTTGGCGGGTTTGCCAGTATCTTTAAGTTACCTATTGCTGTGGTACCCTGCCATATATAGGAACTTTTAAAATTGGTTTTGATTAAGCATTTATTAATTTTAAAATATTATTATTAATAAGTAACGAATATTGTAAATACATGAATAATAAATATATCATGTGGAATAAGCAGAATATGACCAATAAAAATGAGAAAAATCTATCAACACCAATATTTAATACATAAATTTCACTATAAAGGCAATTTCGTCCGAGCTTATAAAAACATCTCAATAAAAACGAAATTGATCCGAACCGGATAGCATGCAATTTCATTAATACATCGGATCATGCGATCGGCCCATTTGCGAATTTGATACGAGTAATGATAGCTATAGCAGTCTGCTGAATAAACAGTTGGGAAAGTTAAAAATTAAACAAGGATTATAGGGTCTGATTATGGTCAAAGCATCTTTCTTAATGGAGAACAAGATACTAAAGGTACAGTGGTATAGTGCCACTGTATTTAACAGCAGCTTTTGTGTATTCATTTCTTACTTAAACATAGGGCATTTCGTTTGACTATGTTCAAAGCATATTTCTTAATGGAGGACATGATACTAAAGGTACAGTGGTACAGTGCCACCGTTTTCAACAGTTGCTTTTGGGTATTTATTTCATACTAAAACAGCTAACTTAAAGTATATGTAACCAATAAATAATAAAAAATATAGCTAATGATATACACATTATATATAGAAAAATCGACTTATTGCGTTTTTTTTAAAAGTGAAAAATATAGTGAGATTTCGAATAATAGGAAAACATTATTATTTAATTACTTACATTTAATGATGTTATCACGTATTTGTACTAACAAAAGAACTTAATATGACTTATTTGACCACTGTTCGAAGTTAATGGACAATAGCGATATTAAAATATCGGAGGGCTATTTATATCAATAACAATATAATGATTTGTAATGTATGATGTGGTAGCGTGTTTATGCGTTTGGCGCCATTTTGTTCGTGAAATGGTTTTGAAAGGTTTGTGTAATACATTTTAATTTAAATCATTTAGGCTTTATCAAAAACCATATTTAACAGTTTTTTATTTAATAACCATTATTTATTATTTCGTTTAAATTATACGGAGAAGCAGTAATACCAAAAAAACAATTACGTCTGGCTGACTAATTCTTGCCAATAAAACACATCAATCACAAAAATTAAAAAAGCTGTCCTAACCAAAGCTAAAGCTTCGTCTACGACAAAGGTATCATGGCATCATATTTATTATGATTTTATTTTTGGCGGCAAGTTTAAAGCATACTACGATAGCTCCTTGCGATTCCTGCTGTCCTGGTACAAAGACTTAGTAAGCTATATTTTTGCAAAAAGTATATGATATATATAAAATTTCTTCACCTACCTCTAGGCCGGTGGCAAATAACTACATTATTTATGTATTGAATCAATATACTGTTGGAAAAAGAAAATTAATTATACTACTCTTAAGATAAGAGTTCTTCACTTCATTAATATTGTAAATACTGAAAATGCATTTGCTATGAATGCAAAGAGCGTCGAGTAATGTGAATTACTAAAGCAAAAGGCAAGATGTGTAAATTAAAATAAGCCTACCCATAGTGCAAATAAATTATGGTTATAAAAGGAATAGTTCACTCGGCCCATATCATACGAACAAGCGATGTAATATAATCTATATTTTAATGGCGTAATGGATAAAAAAAATATGAGTAAGACAATTTTGATATGAATTTAGAAGACTGTTAAGTTATGTTTTTTTTATATAGAAAACACGAGCAGATGGCTCACCTAATGCCAGAAGGCTTGCGCGTTGCCGGCCTTTTTAAGAATCGGTACGCTCTTTTATTGAAGAACCCTAAGTCGAATTGGTTCGGAAATTCAGTGGGTCTCGGGTTCCACATAGTGGTGGCATACACCGACAAAAAATTACAGTTGTGGAACGACGGACGTCGAGTACGGGTGAAATTTTGTTTTCTGCCTCGATGTCTGATGGTATCAATCCGGCATAGTTTAAAGACACGATTAAAATATTGTTTCTTCGATTACCCAGACCCAGTAACTTACACCACACCCCTATGTGGGTGTTACAACGCATACTAACATTGCATTTCTTATTAATTAATGCACACATAAATCAGTCGCGCTTCGTTATAAGGACTTTCACATTTTTATGGTTTCAAGTAAATAAATTGTAACGCCCCATCTAATGGGACGAAACGTATTCGAGACACCGGAAGTTCTGACATTTTAATTAAGTGTTCTTAGTTGTTCCGTTAAAAATATGTAGCTTAAACAGTAGTACCATTTTAAGAATGTATGCCCCAAGCATGTTTTTATGAAGTACTTGAATGCAAAAAGTTGCGTACGTATCTTCCCATAAATACCATTGACCTAGTAGCTTGATTTACCAAATAGGTGGTGTGTTCGATTCACAACTGTGCACCAATGTTATTTTCTAGCGCAAATAGCGCATGCACTCGCTGGTATGATGAAATATAATGAGGAAACCGCTTGCACAGGAGAAACATAAGACAAAGACCTAAGAGGTTGTAGCGTCAGTGGTTATTGTTATTTATTTTTAATTTAAAATATATCAGTCTTTAACCAAAGTACTCATCTGTCTCTTTGCATCACAGCGTGAACACAATTTGACAGAAAGGGACGAAAGAGTAGTTTAAAAGAGCGCAATTTGTCTCCAATAATAATAACTATAATTTTATTTGTAATAAGTTATATTATATTATGCTTATTACAAATTAAAGTCAGCAATTCAATAATTCTTAGTCTTCCTAGACCCCTAAAGGGGCATGGGGTATCGGGGTCATACGATATTTCTATTAACGACTGCCATGAAAGCGATTGATACAGTATTGTCTTAATAATGGCATTTCTATAAATACGAAAATATTAATGAATAATTTTTTTTTTTATAGAACAGGCAAACGGGCAGGAGGCTCATCTCAATGCCAGAGTGCTCATGAGTGCGTTGCCGGCCTTTAAATTTACATAAAGCTTCCTTAGATACGAGTAGAGACTCTATTATTATATTCTTATTAGAATTTAAAATAAGAATTAAAATTACGATTCTGTCACGTGCATAAAATCAGCGAGCACAAAGGCGGTGTGTCACTTCGCAATTAGTGCGAACAATGACTCCAGCAGGTCGCTGCTTACTTCTTGATTAGGTTTTATTGTCTACGTGGTTGGTCCAGATACTGTACAGCTTTTATGGATTAAATAGTGAACAGATTAAATTTAAAATGCTACATTTTGTCTTATGAAACAAGGTAAATGTTGATTCAAAAGTTACAATCATTTGAGAGAATGAAATATGTTAAGGAGAATTCGTTACATATCAAAAGAAATCAAAGAAGTTTTTTCCTTACTAGGGTTGCCTGGAAGAGATCGCTTGTTAGCAATAAGGCGTTTCATCCCGAATAAATAAAAAATCTGTGGCGCTACAACCGTTTGAGATCTGGGCGTCAGATTTCTGTATCTGTTTCATGATCATTGGTCAATCTAAGAGGCAGCCTCCTGTACCTGATATACGCCGTCGATTTTTTGGGTGGCAAAACAATTTGTATGACAATACTTGGACGATTAAAAAGAGTGGCGGAAAGTTTCTTGCCAGTTCTTACCCGCTCTACGCCCTTGACTTGCGAACTGGTAGTAAATGTAAATTTACGATTAATTTAACTTGACAATTCAAACGTGTACTTGGTTACCCACTTGAATAAAGATATTTTGAGTTTGAGTTTCCTCACGTTGTTTTCCTTCAACACGTACCTACGACCTCAGGGATGAGAGTCTCACGCTGGAGCCACTAGGCCAAAACTGCTCACTAAGCTACTACTATTAATAGCTATAAATAAAGAATACCGTAATAAAATCAAAAGAAACGTTGCGTCAAGTCATTTATTGGACTTTTCAGATGAGGTATAAATAATACAGGCGACTATTATACGGACATGAAAGTTGATTTAAAAGAACATGTCTTCACTTGGGAGCTGTGTTATGAATACACTTCACTCCATCCGGCAGGCCGTCATTTTACAATCGCCATGAAATATCTTTGATCTTTTTGTCTATGAACAGACCTGGAATTGCTTTTAAGGCCCTATTAAAGTATGAATGTAATGTGAATGAAACTTTTATTGTATCTTACTTTTGCTTCAGTTTTCAATGTTCGATACAATATTAAAAATATACAAAAAATGGCTTCATAAGATAAAGATGATGCAAAGAGGCTTGGCTTTACCGGATAGGGTTCCTGATACATCAGTGGCGCTACAACCTTTTAGGTCTTGGCCTCAGATTTCTGAATCTGTTTCATGATCATTTTTAAACCTAATAGGCAAGTAGATCAGCCTCCAGTGCCTGACACACGCCGTCGACTTTTTGGGTCTAAGACATGTCGGTTTCCTTACGATGTTTTCCTTCACCGTTCGAGCAAATGTTAAATGCACGCATAGAAAGAAAGTCCATTGGTGCACAGCCGGGGATCGAACCTACGACCTCCGGTATGAGAGTCGCACGCCGAAGCTACTAGGCCAACACTGCTCCTATCCTGTTCCTGATACATACTCACTGAAACAATATTTACTAACACATTGGATAATTAGTTTTTTAAGAAAAAGTTGTAATTTATACCTAGTTTATGTATGTCTCTGGAAATAAATTAAGGTTTTAACAAATTATAGAACTTTTGTCAGTTAACGGACAGTAAAAAAGGTCCGTTAGCCTATGTAATTAAAAAATAATTCATGCGATTAACTTTTTTTAACTGAATGCTCTTAAGAGCCTCTAGATCAGTGTTTCTCACGTGCCCACGCCCAACAGGGGGGTAATTCAAAAATGGACACGTTTTTATTATTTTGAAAATTGACTTACTGTGTTTCGTTAACAATTTCCTATTGTTTTCTTCCTAAAAGCTACCATTTAATTTTTTAGGTGAACAATTTAGTTTGGGGATATAAGAATTTTAGAAGAGGGCATGACACAAAAAGTGTTGGGAAACACTTCTCTAAGATGTAAGGATTGTCAATTGTCAAACCAGTTAGTCTGATTTTGAATTAACTTAGTATAAGTATATAGTAAATCCATTAAACTCTAGTACTACTCTATACTCTACGCTTTTTGAGCTCTATATCGGGATAAATAGGGCACAAATAGCACGAATACGGTTCTGAATTCACGCCATTTTGAGCTCAACAGAATTAAACAGCGGGATTTTTATGATTAGATCTGAAGATAAAGTTAAACGTTATCGCGCACGTGCTCATGAGGGCTTTAAAGCGCTATTGTTTTTGAGGATTCAGTGAACATAATGGTTAGAGGGGGGAATACTTCTTGAACTATGAAAGTCAACAGGTACCTAACCTACCTTACATTGAATCCATACGTCATTTGAGAAATAAAAATGTATAAGTACACTGTATGTATACTAACTGTAATACAATTTATGTTTAATTTATACGTAATATATAATATAATATTAACCCACATAGAAATAATCATTAAAAATTGATAAATAGAAAAATAATATAAATGTATTGGTTTTTAATTTAAAATATTGGTTGATTTAAAAAATACATTTATTTTTATTGGTTTCCACAGAAAAAACAAGGCATTATCTCTTACGAGTAAATACGCGATGTCAGACAATTTCTGCTAAAACAGCTAAGAATGCAAAAAAGAAGAAAATAACAGCGAAGGTATATTTATTGGGTTAGGTTTTATCTATAGCTTCATTTTATTATAAATATATTTTTACTAGCATATTCAGCGTGCGACTTTCAACCCTGAGGTCGTAGATTGTTAGGTTGTGCACCAATGAACATTCTTTCTATGTGCGTATTTAACATTCTCTCGATAGGAAAACATCATGAGGAAACCGGCATGCCTTAAACCCAAAAAGTCGACGGTGGGTGTAGGAGAAGACTGCCTATTAGAGTGACAAATGATCATAAAACAGATACAGAAATGGTTTTTTATTTTATTACCGCTAAATAATTAAATCAAACTAAATATAATATATGAACTTAATTACATATAATTAATCTGTCGGTATTAATAACATGAGTTGAATGTTACACCAATAATTTTGTGTCCCAATTACCCAGATTAAGGTCGAAATGCGGACGTGAACAAATCCGGTTTAAAATTAATCTTATGTGATTGACAAATAAGACACCTAGAACTTACCAATCAACAGCTGTTGTGTATTATCATAAATTTGTAGATCCATGTTGTATCCATCTTCAGGGTTGGCATAAAGAAGAATTTATTAAGTTAGTAAAAAGTACTAAATATAGAAACAGTGAAGTATAGTGACAAAACACTCAAATGGGTGCAAGGAAAACATTATTGATATTTTATTTTTCCTCTCAATCATCATACATTACTGAGGACAATCAGATGACATGAGAACTTAACGTCGTGATCGTAGAACAATGTCAGAATTGAAAAAAATCCAAAATCCACTTTTTATCATATTTGGATACTACATTGACTACATATTACGGCCACTTGTGTTTCAAAAAACTACAAAAAATCCATGTGTTTCAAATTTCAAATTAATCAGTCGGTAAAGTGACGGATTTGATAGGAACGCTCGTAGAAGCATGTGATTTTTCTAGACAACTGTGTAATGTAATGTAATTATTTTTATTTTATTTCAAAACAAACCCTTTTGTTTGCTTGTATGCCAATTTTCATAATTACAGAATATGAGTTAAAAAGTTATGACAAAAAAAACTAACATGATTATATTATTTTGAAATGGCTGCCCTGTAAAGTTTACTATTTGTCAGATCCGTGCAACTTCCTCACAATCGAGTAGCCCGCAATATCGCAGCATACAACTCACAAGCATCCGCGAATATACAATGTACATACATAATTATGTAGGAATAAAGAAGATAATAATAGCAAATAACTAACACAAGGTTTCTAAATCGATGATTGATATGCTTAATAGCAAGTATTAGGGATTCAAATAGACATTATAGTAGGTACTGTAACATGAAAAACTTCCATACTAAGTTCATTAATACTTAGCGTAAGACTATCGGTAGCCCTACACCTATAATACGATTCCTTTGATTCTGCTTATTCCTCATAAATCAAATGGCCAAGCGGCATAAAGGAAGCATACTAATTATGAATTTATCTTCGCCATCAAAGAGAACTAATGACCTACGTATTTGTGGAGGCAATCTCGCTGAATAATAGTTGATGTATGGAAATAATATGAAGAACTAATGAGTTCTGGAATGATTGGCGTGCCTTTATGTTTGTCCGGCTTTTACGATAATGCGTGTACTGAAATGGTATATGATTTGTATGTGTAAGGGGATTGATTCAAGTAAAGCTTGGAGACGTAAGACAAAGCGTTTTGCATCGATATTACAATGTATGTTTTATTTGTTCTATGTAACAGTATATGTTAAGTAATGCATAAAGTGAAGTAAAGGCATTTAAGAATTGGTACGCTCTTTTCTTGAAGGACCCTAAGTCGAATTGGTTCGGAAGTACTTCAGTGGGCAGTTCCACATAGTGGTGGTGGGCAGCAAAACGAGAAACGCTCAGTTGTGGAACGACGGACGTCGAAGTGATACGGAAAACAAACTATTTTGGAAACTCTCAATGTTATAAAAAAAAATCTCAATTCTATAGACCCACGATACTCTTGATACCTTGCCGTTTATATAAATTAAATAATTAGCAAAGGTTGCGAAAAAGCCAGCAAAGCCTTACAAAAGGTATCAAATTAAAACCATCACGATTTAGTGATCATACCAATATTTATCTTTTCTTTTCTTTGCTTTTTAAACAGCATCCATTATTTTTTGCTCGGGTCAACTCTCTTTTTATAGAACGGAGGGTATACGGGCAGGAGGCTCATCTGATGTTAAGTGATGCCTTCGCCCATGGACACTAATGCCAAAGGGCTCGCGAGTGCGTTGCCGGCTTATTATAAATAAATATTTCAAATAAAATACTAACCGTTTTGGCACAGTACACAGTCAGACGTCTTCTGAACACTCTGTCCTTGACACGGGGCCCCACCGTGTAATGCATGCGGCTCTGTGCAAGTTCTTGTTCGCCGTTGACCCGATACTCTTCCATTGCATCGGCATTGCGTCCAGGGACCCCAGGCGCTCCAACCACCGTTTACTGAGAAAGATGTGTTATATTAATAGGTGATTACCCCAAGAATGAGAAGGCTATGAAAGAAGTGCATCTAATGAACACATATACACTAGTAAAACTTAAATCAAGATTTTTATATATAGAGATAAATAATCTTAATTTCGCTAACATGCTACCAATGTTTTTGACTGAACATTCAAAATTCAAAATCTTTTATTCATATAGGTAATGTACTCTTATGAACGTCAAGAAAGAAATATACTTATATTAAATGCTTCTAATTTTACAATTACTTTTACAGAAACTATATAACTTGAACTTCAGTGACTTTGTTTGTATTATTTATAATTTTTTAAATAACACAAACTGTCTAAAGGCTCACCTGATGTTAAGTGAGACCGCCGCCCATGGACACGGCCAGAAGTTTCTAGTCTTTTAAGAATTGGTACTCTCTTTTCTTGATTTTTCTTTTGTTTACTACCCAATATAGCTAAGACCGAATTGTTTATAGTCAACGATATATAGATTAATAAATAAATAATTATTATTACAAAAATGACCAGTGTTGGTCTAGCAGCTTCAGCGCGCGACTCAATTCCTTAGGTTCGTAGGTTATATTCCCGGCTGTGCAGCAATGGACTTTCTTTCTATGCGCGCATTTAACATTCGCTCGAACGATGAAAGGAAAACATCGTGAGGAAACCGGCTTGCCTTAGACCCAAAAAGTGTACAGCGTGTGTTGGGCACAGGAGGCTGATCACGTATGTGGCTATAAGACAAATGGTCATGAAACAGATTCAGATAAGGTTGTATCGCCATTGATTTATTTTTTATTATTATAAAAATACAACTGACACATCGTAAACACTATTGTCCAAATGGAGTTACTTATTTTCGTATTAAGTACCTACTGATTAAAAGCTAATTTATTTTTCCAAAGTGAGGCTAATAAAATTTTATAATCAGTATTAAGCAGTAGTCCACGCACGTAGCTTCTCGGACATAAATACAGCAATTAAAATCCTTTAAATAAACTTTTAATTTCACCCTTTTACGAGACCAAAAGGACAACTATAGTCAACGAGTGAATCCATAAAAATACTAGTTTATGATATTTTGGGAGTACCACCCGCCAAGTCGTTCGTAGACATAAAAATTTAATTAACAATTTTAAGTGTAAACCCGCATTTGGATGTTTTAAAAAACTACTGTGCGCTTTAGTCCTGTGAGAAACGGCGGTTTTTACGACATTTTATATTATTTAAATGTTATGGTTTGCGTACTGCGAAGCGTCGCAGGGTAGGTTAAGCTATAGTATTGTCTTTGATTTACATAACCTTTACACATTTACAGCGTGCGTGAGTCACCGTGACCACGCACGCTGTAAAGCACGCGAAACGTCGGATAAATTTAAAATTATGTTAAATAATACAAACAGTTTTTTCTTTAAATAGGTTAAGCTAGTTATTATATATAATTAATACAAATTTAGAATTTTTGACGACTCATTGGTCTAGTGGTTAGTGCCCCTGACTGCGAATCCATGGGTCCCGGGTTCGATCCCCGGCTGAGACGAACATCGATGTGATGAGCATTTGGTGTTGTGCTTAGGTCTTGGATGTTTAAATATGTATTTATATGTCTATCTATAATATGTATGTTTATCCGTTGCCTAGTACCCATAACACAAGCTTCACCAGCTAGCATGGGACCAGGTCAATTGGTGTGAATTGTCTTTAAAAAAAAAAAAAAATGTTTCGGACAATTCCAACCGATGAAGTAATAAACAGTTTTAATTAAAACTTTTCAACACGCACGCATTAGGCTATATTATCTTATTTCTAAATCAATGGTTGAGCATGCTAGCTTGCGTGTAACCTAAATGACCTGGGTTTATTTAACCGCTTGTTAACGCTAGGTTAAAAGTAATAGTACGGAAATAAACTGTAAACCTTAATAAGATTCTTTATTGGTTGGATTTATGGGTTATGCTTTTGTCGTTGAAAATTAAAAAATAATCTGATTTGAATTAGTTTTATTTAAATTTTGCGTGCTTTGCGACACGGGTTACGCTTTTATTATTACTAAAGACTATTTAAAAAAAAGGAAAAAATCGACTTAGTCAACTAGTTATGATTGATATATTTATGATATAATTAGGGCAATATACATTTATAAGAGAGTTTTTCCTATAAAACATAATAAATTTATTATAATTATCCAAATAATATATTTATAATTTTAAGAGCAGTGATGGCCTAGTGCTTGAACGTCAGCGGACTCTCATCCCTGAGGTCGTAGGTTAGATAGACTGTGCACCAATGGACTTTCTTTCTATGTGCGCATTTAACATTCCCTCGAACGGTGAGGGAAAACATCGTGAGGAAACCAAAAGTCGACGGCGTGTATCAGGTACAGGTAGATTGATAAATGATCATGAAACAGATACAGAGATCTGTGGCCCAGACCTAAAAAGGTTATTATTTAGAAAGCTATTATTTATTGTTACCATCACGCATCTTGTAAGAGCAATTGAAGCGATAAAATATAAATACGAAAAAAGTATTAAGACGCAACACATGGTAAACAGGAGAAATGCGGGAAAAATTGCCTCCTCCCATTAGCATAAGCGTCGTTTTGGAGATTTAAAAAAAGCTGAAACTGGCGATACTACCCCAAATTACACGTAATGGCGATCGTTAGGGTTACCTCCATGTTATAAATTGTTATAAATTCATGCCACATGTCGAAATTAGGATTAATGGGCCATTCATGCTTTAATTGGGATATTTTTGAAGGATGCAAAATGTGGTTAAATTTATTTAGAATATGTTTATTTATAAAAACATTCCTGCCCTAACAGACGACCCTAAATTGACAAGAGTGAACAATAAGTGAATAAAATTTATAGACGAAAAAAAAGCAAACATACAATTAATTAGGAAAAACAAAATTACATAATAAAAAATACAAGAAATTAATTAACTACTATAGGCACTAACAAATAATAGAACTTTTGCCAGTTCACTCAACGGACAATGAAAAAGGTCTGTTAACCTAAAATTATTATTAGTTAAATTTATTTGATTTAAAAATGATTATTTACTACCTAATTACTCAGACCTATTAAATGAATAAGAAAATATTGTCATGGACTACAAACTTAATAGGTGTGATCTGCATTTCTACATGCATTAATTCGGTCGAAGCACGCTTTACTGGGTAAATAGACCTTAAAATAGAATATTTTTTTGTTAGACGTATGGTATCCGACTTTTTTGTAGATATTGATGTCTTCTACAACTGTAGTAGGTATATCACTTTGCTCAATTGTTAATAGTTTCCGCAGAGTACGCGATATAGGAACTTCATACAAAACTCTTTTGACCTTCTGAACTTCTTTGAAAATATTCTATAGCCTATGTTCATCAGGGGATAACGTAGGGTTCTAATGGGGAACTAATTTTTCGAATCAGTTCGTATTAGTGGAAATCTTTCCTCTTAATATTAGTATAGGTATTCATACATACTTAGGACCTTAATAAATATTATAATAGACTGTCTTTTATTGCTTCATTAAATGCGTTTAAGAAGGTTTCTCATTGGATCAGACACAATTGTAAGTTTTATGTAGAAATATTACGTCAAGTTTCGTTAATATGTCAAATGTCTAAATATCCCCAGGCAATCCTTTTATGGGGCTACTGCACTATCTCTTTTAACTATACAGCCTTTTTTATTATGTGCAATAAAGTTTTTTTCTTTCTAGATTAAAAATGTATGTGCGATATCACCATGTGAACTGTAATATGAAGTTTATTTACATAAAATACAATTTTCCACCTCATAATTTGAAAACCTTGTCATATAAAACTCCCAGGCGGTTTAAGCCCAGCATAATAGTTTACAAACTGTGGCAATATGCGACATAATGACTAGCGACACAATAAACCACGCTCATAATATCACCCGAGACGCCAACTTGCTGTGACTAAAACGTTAAAGGGGTCTCGAAACAAAAACTATTATCAAATAAAATGTTTCTTAGTAGAAAACCAAATTTTGAATAAAGAACCTCAAAGCTTAGTTTTAGGTATTTTCATCTGTTTTATTAACGGTGGTCTAAATTTGATTTGAGTAATTATGCTAATAAAAACAGCGTATTTCGATTTACCGTCTCGTTTACCAACACGATTTAAATCAGCGACTTTAAGCTTCTCATCAAATTTTACCTAATAATAATAATAAATTGTTTATTTGCAAAGAAACTGGTACATTCAGATTGATTATAAAACCGCACAACATATAAAAATAGGCATGCAAATGTCAAATTCATTATCATAATGTCATAATAATAAGTTATTTAAAATTATTGTCAAAACCTATGTAGGTTTCATTTAAAAATCAGTATTTTAGAACTCAAAAATACTCTGTTGCTACATGTAATTTAAAATAATATTATAACACTATGATTCAGAGTTGAAACTTATGACTATGACTTCTGTATATCATAATTTAATATGTTTAATAAAACACCCTAGTATCTGTACTAAAAATGAAAGCGTGCCGATGATTAAAAATAAAACGAAACCATTGCAATTTCGAACATCGAATTGCAATTTCCGGCAATTACAAATTAAGCCATACAAAATAAATGTAAAATCCAATTTAACGTTTATATCACTAATATACATGTAAATAAAAACTAAAGCGTTTAACCGAATTGCCACCCATTGCGTATTCGTATAAAATTTGATTGGGTCATTACGCCCGGGTTTAATATGACTATGAGAAATAAACTAAGCTTAGGAAGTGTTTGGGTGAAGTTTAGGATATCGTGTGATATGTGATATTGTTATAGGGGACATATGATGGAAACATTTTACAAGTTTTTGGACGGATAGAATCTTTTATACCCTAATGATCTTTTAGGTCAGGTCAACTTGATCTGATATCACCAGGATTGGAGGAGTTAGGACATTTATGTAACACGGAAAAATCGGATAGTCTCTGCTCTGCTTCGGTAGAGCCTTAAATTCCCTTTTGTTTTTTCTAGATGAACAATTGAAGCAATGCTATCAACTCTAGTCGGACCTAATAGAAAGAAAGAGAGCAGCGTAAGAAGCTTCTTTAGAGCTAGAAAGAGCTTCAACTGTCTTTTTTAAAGAACAACGGTTCGGAGGCTCTTCTGATGGAAGGCGCGGTACATGGACATTCTCAATTCTGGAGGGCTCGTGAGTGTTCACTTTTCTTGAAGGACCCTGAGTCAAATTGGTTTGGGAATACTTCTATGGACAGCTGGTTCCACAGATGCGTGGTGCGCGGCAAAATGTGCCTTAAACTGAGGTGATACGGGTGAAATTTCGAACTCTGCCTCGTCGTACGATGATCAAACTCAACGGTATTAATCCGAACAACTCCTTTGAACGTCTTCTACTACCCTAGTAGTCCACGCTACGAAAATATCTGGTAAAACCAGTTTTCTCTTAAAGCTCAAGTTAAATAATTTTAATTAATTGCGTCCGAAGACTATAATTTCTAAGAAATGTGTATGTAGCCTAACATTAACAGACCCTAATAAGGATCGTTGGAAATCAATTAAGCGTGGCATTTGGTTTTAATGCTAATGGATAGAGGCCAAGTAATCTTCTGGTATTCTCGTAAAATCGAACTTTTTATGTCGTAAAAGGGTTAAGAGCTTATTAAATTAAAAGTATTTCTATGTTAAAATTGGTAATTTTCAAAAAGTTTGGAAATTTTCTTTGGATGTATACTTTGTTCTTATACATAGCGAGTTTGAAGCAAAGAGATGAAAGGCAATTCCGCCTTTTTTGTACCGCGCGACGTAAATGCTGCAACATCACCGGTACGGCGGAACGTATGAGATGTATTTATAAATTATATCGCTGTCATCATTGGAAGTTGCAGATTACCGACGCAGTTTTTATATAAGAACTTGTTCTACCAAAAAGTGTATTGGCTTCCGAAATGAGAAACATCCAGCACCTGTGCTATGTCACGCCTCGCAGTTTTTAATGATGAAATAGATAAAACATAAGAAACATTAATCCTGGCTTAGTTACTGGCATGTTCTCCGAGCTCTTGTTCGTGTAAATAGAACGCGTTCACTAATATATTAATACTAGATGACCCAGCGAACGTTGTTTTGCCATGTATATTATTTCTAGGAAACATTTTTTTAATTCAATAAAAATAACTATCTACTATAGTAAAAATAGGGGTTGATCGTAGAGAGGTGAAAATTAAGGGTTGTATGTATTTTTGTATTTTTATCATAAAAAAAAAATTGTTTAGGGTGGACACCCCTTATCATTTAGGGTTTTGAAAGAGAGATAGTAGCCGATTCTGAGAATATGAATATGCATAAAAAAATTCATAAGAATCGTCCCAGCCGTTTCGGAGGATTATGGGAACGAACATTGTGACACGCGAATGTTATATTAAAGGTTAAAAATACATAGTAAAGATTAAATAATGGTACAAATTTGAGTTTGAAATATTAAATGGAATGAACTGATATTTATTACCACACAGCAATTAGTATATCCCAGACAATTATTAACCAAACAATTGTCTCGCCGAGAATAGAACCACGACTTTTATTCATTCAGCCTGGTTGAGAGTAGCTCCCTTGTATGTTAAGTTTAAAACTAACTATGTACTACATTCCGTGGAAATAATTTAAACCCTTAATAAGAATATTAAACAAGAGTCATCCATCAAAAGTTTTGCGTGACAAGCGAGAAACAGTTTGAAGCTGTGTTACAATTTTGGTAAGGCGAACGAAAAGGACTCTACTTGTTATAATTATTTCAGGCGAGTACTAAATTTATATCAAACATTATGAGAAATGCAATTCGTATACTATAAGAATTGGGCCAGAATATGTGGAAAATACGATACAGAATATTTAAAGTTTTCTTTAAATTTTATTTGCTGAAACAAAGGCACAAAGGCTTTTAAAACACTTACAGATTATTTTTGCCCAAATTTTAACTAAAAATATGATAAAACTATTATACAATAAATTATAAAATTTATTTTAATAAGAATTTACAAAATATAGTGTCGTATATAAATTTAATATTTTTCTGATGAAGTTTTGCTATACTGGATTTTAAATGTATTGATTTTTATTGAGCAAATCAAATCAATCAAATCAAAATACGTTTATTCCATTTTGATGCCCCCTTAGGGCCCCCTTTTAAGTTTCAACCCCTTTTAAAAATACCCAAGGGGGAGGGCCCCCCCCCCCCCCCCCCCCCCCCCCCGGGGGGGCTGCTTGCGGGGGGGGGGGGGGGCAAACCCCCCCCCCCCCCCCCCCCCCCCCCCCCCTCCCCCCTAAAAAAATTTTTACCCCCCCCCCCCCCCCCCCTTTTTTTTATTAAAAAAAAAAAAAATTTTTTTTTTTTTTTTTCCCCCCCCCCCCCCCCCCCCCTCCTTTTTTTTTTCCCCCCCCCCCCCCCCCCCCCGCAGTCAAAGGTTTTGGCAAAGTTTATATTTTGTGCCTGAAAATACCTAGTATAATTATCGTTTTGTTTTCAGATATTTTCTTCTGTAAACTCCAATCGCTTGAAGTGTTAAAACTGTCAAATAGAACTTACAATTAATATGGATTGCATTCAACATTAAAAGCAAAATACTAACTTTACATCGAAATCAAACCGTTTAATTTAAAATTGCAAAATCTAGCCACAATCAAGTCTAACAATATAACGAGCCGTCAAATGAGTTAAACAACACCGCTATTTAACTCTCATTCCACCCTTGTCTATAATAACCATACTTCATGAGATCAAAGGGCGATTCGCGATTGCAATTATGCGTGTGCGCATGGGAGAGTCATTAGACGCCTACGCCATCTCGCGGCGCCTAACTGATAGCGATCAACACCTTATGACTCGACACGTCCGAGTTTCTATAAGATCATTTATTGAAGAAATTATTTATACATAGAAACATAATTATAATTTCACCTAATACGATATACTTTCAGATACAAAAACCAATAAACATGTGCTTTCAAGCCGTGACTGAGCAAGCTCAATCGGGATAAATACAAATTTCCTTAAACAAGTTCAATAGCTTTTATTTCTGTATTTGTGTCGTATATATAGAAATTAATAAAGCCTTTATTCTCTGACCGTTAGTTACTAGCAAATAATTAGTAAGAAAAAACTATTGTTAACTTTTATTTATTTATTTTTTATTTATTTATTAACACTTCGTTGCATATACATTAATATAGTACAATTGACATAATTAAATAAAAGGAGAGCAACTGGCGGCCTTATCGCTTTCGAGCGATCTCTTCCAGGCAACCACTGTGAGAAAAGAAAAAAAGTATTAAATTACATAAGTTAGGCAAGAAGTCCAAAAATACATGTATTACATATAGTTGTTCAGAAAAAGAAACTAAACTAATAAAGGATACATGAAAAAAATAAATAATAATAATAAAAAGTGCACATGAATCATTATAATTTAATTTCAGAATTTAATTTAAGACCAGTCTCACGTCAGTTAGTAGGTATTATTAAAGTTAGGGATACGATGTGGACAGGTAATGTTTGTACAGAAGAAATTTAAAGGAAGATAGAGAAGGAGCAAACAGTTTCTAGGCCAAATTGTCATAGGCCTGTCTATTTTAGCCCATTCTGCTCCATCTCTACGGCAGGCCATCTGCCAATCTTTTTACTTGACATCCTTGACTTCCTATTGTCTTCTTGGGATACTTCCTTTGTCTCTTTTTTGCTTCTTAAAATGTGTCCAGTTCCATTTTATTTTCTTCGTCTATAACTGATACAACATAAAAAACCAGTGGTGAGCAATCGTTAGAGACTATGTCCCTTTATGTCTCATATAATGTTCCGGTCATCCGACAATTTTCCGTCCTGACATGGAAATTTTCAGATCTGACATACAAAAATTTTCATCCTAGTTTCCGCGCGAAGTTTTCTCTACCGTATGAAATATTTGCGAGCATATAAACATCTATTGAGGAATACACAGCCAGGGTGAGCTACTAGACTAATACGGTCTTAGTGGAATAAAGCACAAAATAACGAACCGGTTTTCTAATTAACCCAGCGCTAACCAAGAGAACAATAGCGGTTAAGTTCAGCCGAAACCACGGCGCAAACTTGTTTACCGAATTCCATAGACAAAGCTCTAATTGGAACAGTTATTCCGGTTTCACTCTGAGACCAATTAAGTTTATTAGAGGGTCAGCCCTTTGTGGGGGACGTACGTGCGATAATTGTTTGAGCTAAGGTTCTATTCGATTCACAATTACAGAACAGTCACAAATATGAAAAATTGTTTTGGAAAGCGCATTTCAAGTTTATTTTCTTTAAAAATTAACCCTCGTCGCTCGCTTTTCGTGTCGGCTAGTCAAATACGATTCAATAGTGCGTTTTGAAACTTTGATGTTAAATTTGTAAAATACATAAATACATTGTTTATCTACTAATATTAATTACAAATAAAGTCCAAGTCATTGGTAACTTCCAATTAGTAGGAATTCAGAGACCAATAAATTTGATCTGTATATGGAAAATAATCTAAAGTTTTTCAAGATATATATACAGTGTAATCTCTTTATAACGACATTCGCTATAAAAATAAACTCTCTATAACGTAAATATGTATATGGTATACCCCAATACCCATACATTAATTCTTCCCTCTCTATAACGAAACCTGTCTATAACGAATAAATATACTCGGTTCCTTGAAATTCGTTATAAAGAGATTACACTGTATAATAAAAAATAGTATAGAATAACTTACCATATACTGTAAGTGTAGCAGGCTCAGAAATTCTTTTACCGGCTATGTTCTCAGCCACGCAACTGTAGTTTGTCATGTCCTGAAACAAAAAGCCAATCTCAATATCGTTTAAAATTTATTTATATTTATACAATTCTCGTGTGTGATTACACCCTTCCAAAACGGCTTGACCGAGTTTTATGTTTTTAGTATTTTTGGTAGGGAGACCTTATATAAGTATATACTTATATAAGGTCTCCCTACGAGAGATATCTCTCAGTGTAAATTTTTTGTATTGTTAAGACAAATCATTTTAAATGATTTGGCATTAAAATTATATTAAATCATTAAGTTTCACACTTCCATCAAACTCCTTTTTAAACGCGATATTAATACTGTTATTTATATGACAAAAGAAAATTTTCCAGGTTAGCTAGTAATCCATAAAAATTCCAGCCGAGAGTACCACAAATAACATATATAAACGCACGCTCGATCACAAGGGTATAACGACTCTTAAACAAAAATAATAGACTAACGTTAAAGATACAATATGGCGTATGTGTTTTAAGTCTTCGTTTTATACATTTTTAATCTGTGAATTAAATGCACGACAGGATGCACATATCGCCCAGAGCAAAATGAAGTTCAGAAAATATAAAGAGCAAAACATATTCAGTGTAAAAAACGTCCGACGTATCTCCATAAACATTTAATTAAGAAAATGGTACACGGTAATGTTACAGAGCGGTTGACACTGGTTGCAATTAATACATGTCTCGCCGCAAAGGGTAATTAGCGGAGTGCTTTGTAGGAAACGAGAGATGGTGTTAACAATTTGCAATTCTATCGCGGTGCTCGAGTGACACTGGGTCTTGATTACATTGTAATAGGAATTGACGATGGATGACTTTTAATTGCAGTGTTTATAAAACGGGATACTTTAACTACGGGGCGTTGTGATTAGCACTAAAACATTCCGGACTTCGAAGAGACAGCTGTTTCTGATAGTTTTAAAACGTTTCTTAGCTAGTGTTCAGTGCTTTAAATAAAAGCTAACTATTTGAATACTCGATCATATAATTGGGGCTGGGCCTGACATATGTGTGCCATCTTGAAGGTAAGTATTTCAGTATTTTTTCACCTGGAATGAAACCAAAGTCTCCCTTCTGGTAATACCAGGAATTGAATTCATTCAGTGACAAGAACCGCATCTCTCCTTTATACATAAAATACTACATGATCCAACCCCGAAAGTTGTGTAAAGACGTAACTTTGATATAGAAGGGCAAGGGGCAAACGGGCAGGAGGCTCACCTGGTGTTAAGTGATAGCCCATGGATACTCTCAATGCCAGAGGGCGAGTGCGTTGACGACCTTGTAAGTAATGGTACACTCTTTTCTTGAAGGACCCTAAGTCGAATTGGTTTGGAAATACATTCGTGGCAGCTGGTTCCATATAGTGGTCAGTTGTGGAACGACGGGCGTCGAGGTCATAAGGGTGGAACTTAGGAGAAGATATTCAGAACCAAAAACTCTCATTTCATATTTACAAAAGCACTTCACATTAACAAATATGCTCTCAGAGCGTACTCGAACTAATTTACTTAGGACTATTCCGAGAAACATAAAATAAATTTACTTTTTCTGCTTCCAAAGAGCGATCGCAAAAAGGCGACGTGACACCGACGCGTGTCGCAATTAATAAATGTCTTTCGCGACTAATTAGTCGCAGGACAATAATAAATCAAGGTTGAAAGGATTGTGCGGTCTAACACGAGGTGATTGTTATCTTAAATTCTTGCATATTATAAAATAAAGTATCCAACAACGTGTCTGTCTAGATGAATGAGATAAACTCAAATCTACCGAACGGATTTTTTTATGTTTTTCACTATTAGATAGCCTGATTGCTGAGAAAGGATTAGATTTTTGTTAATTGGCTAAAATATGCCGGTTATTTTTAAGAGCAAAATTCATGAAATCAAAATTTATGTATGAAACTAGATATTTTAGTTTACCCTCTAGATTTCTGCATTACTTTTATGGGCTTTTAAGGATATTGCTTGGAGGCTATCGAATTCTCATTTGTATCGTTTCGGAAATACCTTCCCTGGCTTCACAAAGTGACGGTACGCGGTAAGATGAGTATATTTTCCTTGTCCTGGTCCTTCAAGACCCTAAGTCAAAATTGGTTCGGAAATACTTCAGTGGGCAGCTGGTTCCACATAGTGGAGGTGCGCGGCAAAAACTGCCTTAAATAACGCTTAGTTGTGGAACGACGGACGTCGAGGTGATACGGGTGGAATTTCGTATTCTGCCTTGACGTCCGATGATGATGATGATGATGATGATGCAGGTATTAGCAAAATGCAATAGCTACTCTTACGTTTATATTATTAAAATAGCTGTATAGAATCTATGTATTTCGATTTTGTTTCCTTTGGAGTAGACTCTTGGGCCGTGGGGTTCAAGTGCACAGGCGCTAATTTAAGATTTAAGGTGGCGCCTGGTAGATAGTACCGGTGACCCCAGAGCTGGTGCTTCCTCGCTCAACGAATAAGTATCGAAATACAGCGAGGAAATGCTGCCCCAGTGTTACACTGCCACCTTTTAATTCTTCTTTTTATTAATATTTAATCATTTTTATTTTTCACTAAGTATTTTGCTTCAATTAAGCAGTTTAAATTGTAGTTTTAAAAAAGATATATATGAACAATCTAGAGAAGAATAGAGATCAAACGTGTCTAGTAGATTACATTTATAGTTAATTTAGTACAGCACTGAACGCTCCGCCATATTTATAAAGTTCATACATCATCCCTTATGAGTTATTGCGGTTCTGACATCATATGTTTAATTATACTGGTGCTCCGTAATTGGCACATTTGATGACTAAAGCGATGATAAATGTACCACAATTTTGTAGGCTGTCACAATCACTGAGAAAAGCAAAATCACGAATAATGCCATCAAAAGTTACAAACACGGCTCAGTGACCACGTGTGTCATTGACGCATGTGTATGACTCACTGAGTGCTTAATGAAGCTAATTCAGGATTTTCAGCTTTAGATAACTATCTTAAGGGATCTGTCTAGAGTTGAGAACTAGAGGAAAAATGTGGAGATTGAGCTGTTGGTATCCGAACCCAAAAACCCTTTGTTAGCCACCAGTTTGGGGTAAATGTTTTGATTAAGTATCTGCCAATACCGACTGAACGATAATAGAACTAATCTCAATACAATGATATGGACAGTTACGGGCCATTGTCTCCTTAATAAACATCTTATGTCCTAGGCGCGACAGACAGCCCCATGTGCAGAGGCTGTTTCAGAGGAATCAGTCACCCATGTAGTCCTGGAATGCGTGGCTGTGGCTAAACAACGTGCAGAAATCATCGGAGCAGTGCGATCGCTCCGTGAAGCCTGTGAAGTGCCCAGGAGACTTCTGTGCTCCTGGAAGGAGCTAGGCTGGCTTAATTTGCCAGGACTTTACGCACAACAGTTATGAAATTAAGTGCGGAAACGGAGTCTACCAACAATAACCGACTGGACGACGGCCCACGGGAGGATGTACAATTTTTTGGGAAAACAAATGAAAATTATTATTAAATCTGCTCTTAAAAAAATGGAAGATCACGAATTTTGAAGCAGGATTATGCTCGTTTCTGACAAATCTTTGCTTTTTATTGTAATTTATCTATTAATTATTTAAGATGTCATGTGGAACATGGTGTAATGGTTGCAGCTGTTTAACTAAAAACATGGCGATTGAAAAGAGTGGCGGAGAGTTTATTGCCAGTTCTTAATATGTACCTAAATGAATAAATGATTTTGACTTTGACTTTAATTTGAACAAAAATTACCTAGATTAATTCACACAGATTTCTGTAGTACTGAACATTTATATCAAATATCGCATTTTATTGTAAAGTAGAGAATTTTATTGACAGTAATTTTAAATGTTAAGAAAAAATGTTCAATAAGTCGTTTATTCATTTATTCATTTTTATAATTACTGTAGATTTGCAGTACCTACAGAGTTATAATTAAAATAGTAATATTTTTAAAGTCGGTATTCATCATGATTGTAACACATGTTATCATTGTTTTAATTTGCGGTTAAATTAATTACAGTTTAAGATTCCCATGTTTATGACCTCATAAAAATATAGAATGAGATTGATGAGCACAACGATAAACTTGTAATTAAAATGAACGGTTCATTTATAAGCTTAATAAGATTTTACTTAATACATATCCTAAGATAATTAAAACAATTGTATATCACAAATTTACGAAAATAATTAAAATTGTTGACTTGCTTGTTGTGCTTTTTCCTTTATCGACAAATACGTGATCAGTCTTTGCACCTAAAACAGGTCTAATACCTTTCCTAGTTACCTACGCTACCGAAAATATTGTCTATGCAATATCGTCGCCAGTTTGTGTTCACGCTTAAATGTATTCTTTTAGTGAACAATGTCAATAGCACAATGAACAGTGGCTGACTCCTGTCGATGGCTGTGTAAATATGACATAAGCTTCAAGAAATTTCAATCGGTCGAGCATCGAACAGATAATAAGAATCATAGCATACCTCTGATCAAAGGCGATGAATTCTTATTTAGAAAGCAAGCTTTATCAAACTACAACTACAAAACAATGTAACAATATTCAACAGGACTACGCCCAAAAATAATAACAAAATGCAAATAAGATAATGTTTCATACAATAGCATTCCCAAGCTTGATCCGACTCGGAATAAATTTCATGAACAGAATTAGTTTTAAAATAAAACAATAGCGAATGAAAGTTTGAGTTAATCACGTTACAATATGAAATATTCCGTTTTTAATTAACTTAAAGAAGTTATAAAGCTTTTCACGGATGAAAATGAATATGTATTACGAATATTTTGTTACTCAACGGAAAGGAGCTTTTTAAATTGAAATAAATAATTTATTTAAGTTAATTTTCACTCGCTTAAATAGTTTAACCTCTGCATAACTTTTTAGGTCTGGGCCTCAGATTTCTATTTCATGATCATGTCAATCTAATTGCCTCTTGTGCCTGACACACGCCGTCGACTTTTATTTCCAAGCCGGTTCCTCACGATGTTTTCCTTCGACCTTCACCGTTCGAGCGAATGTTAAATGCACACATAGAATGAAATGCCATTGGTGCACAGCCGGGGCTCGAACCTATGACCTCGGAGATGAGAGTAGCACGCTGAAGGCACTAGGCCATCCTCATCTTTTAAGATGTCACTTTAATGTTGTCAGAGGTCGCTGTACAAGAATTCACGTAAGTCGATTCATCGAAATAACGACATTAACTGATTATCGAAATCAGTTCTGAATTACCAAATGATAACATACCAGACCAAAATATTCTTACGGTCGAGAGGAATTTATATATAGCTAGAGTACATGTTTTTTTATTTACCTGCAAAGAAGCCCTCGATATCAGCAAGTTGCCTTCAGCAGAAATAAGTACATTATGGTCTTGCTGGAGTGGGATGCCATTCTTTAGCCAGGATATCCTCGGAGATGGTGCAGCGCTTGGTGGCGAACAGCGTAATGATGCTGCAGACCCGGCTTCCACTGATGTAGAGGCTGGTGATATTGCGAACTGCTTCTTAAGATCTGAAAAAAGACATTAAATTGTTAGCTGATTTTGTTTTCATCTGCAATATCTCTAAGAGTATTTTAGTTATGATTGAATATTTAATACCGAAAAATAGTTATACATAAGTAAATTTCTTGGGATGAAAGCTAAAACACTATATGTGCTAAATTAGCAACCATCAATGCAAGTTGCAATAATAATGTTATCGGTTCTAAAACTTGCAAACGATGCTTAATTAATGAACTTAAAATGGTGATTAAAAGCTTGTAAACTTTTAAGTACCAAGATTGTTTTGGTAAGATAAGCCTTATCAAAAGCTTACTACAGGGAAATTAAACGCATAATTAAAAGCTGCAATAAATAAATATACTTGCGAACAGTACACATTTTAAAGTAATTACAAAATAGCTAACATATTTATGTTTTATAAATATAGTAACGTACTTGGCGCGACATATATTTTTCATTCTTTACACCGCATGTCCATGCAGATTTCAACTCCAAATGTGTCGTAATAAATTATAACGTCCTGAATTTATCTGTTTTGACTTGGAACAAAGCTTTTAATATATTCTTCTGACAATTTACACCATCTGTCTTGCTCGGTGTCTTTTATATTGCACAGGATTTATGGTTAAACGCGAACATAATTAACAAGAAGCTCTTAAGTGTTTTAATTGTTCATATAAATAATTTAAGACTGTGTCGCAGATGGATTTACGCAAATGACGCTAACTAAGTATTAATAATTGTTATCTATATACATTTATTATAGAATACAAACGGGCAGGAGGTGTACCTGCTGATAAGTTACACCGCCGCTTATGGACTATTCCAGATAGCTCGTAAGTACGTTTGCGGACTTAATTTATGTTTTTATGAATTATAGATGATTATGATTGTTTAATGTACGTAGTCGGTCCCAAAGTTCTGTCATAAATGAAAATAATGATAAAAACAAAGGTACTGATCAGTTTGTAATGAGTGATATATCAATTCTTAGTAATTAACGGAAAAACCCATTTTTAATACAGCCTAGCGTCGCGGCTCATCTGAAGCAGACCATATTCTGTCGATTTCAGTCACTGGTTTTTTAAAGATGACTTAGATTCTCCAAATTTTCATGGGTTTATCACAGACCTTCCTCTCAACCCCTGTCATAATTTCTGGTCCAAAGGTTGGGGCCGGGCGGGGGGAGGGCCAGCCCCCCGGCCTATTTAAGGAAGTTTTTGGCCTCTCACCCCCACAAGCTTTAGCCGTCTTGGCTTTGTATGCAGCGCAGAGTCCTGCTGAAGTCGAATTGGTGTCCGGAAATAGGCTTTAGTGTCTTTGGCAAGCCTGGTTCGCACTGGTTTTGACACGTTTTTGGGCCAAAAACCTCAGTTAGCCCGTAAAAGACACTCCCCAAACAAAACTTTTACTGATGATGGTTGTTGCCAATTTCCCCCCTTGAACTTAATTCAGCTTCTTCAGAACTCCTAGCCCCCCGTACACTGTATAATTCTGTTATTGTATTTTTATCATGTCGGCCGTAAAGAGGATATGTGGTTCCGCTTCAGCGTACCGCTTAAACAACACCCGCGATCCTTAAGCCTTATTCTTTTTGACAGATTAGGTCCCTTTTGTAGCTCGTAGACCAAGCTCATTTAAAACCTTGTTCCTCTGACACCATGTGCAACCAATGGACATTTTTTCTATCCGCGCCTTGATGCTTTGATTCGCGGTGTTCTTGCGGGCGGGGCCGCCCGGTTCTTTTTTTTTCCCCCACACAGGGGCCCCCACGGACCCCACCAACATTTGCTCAAACGGTGAAGGTTATATTCAAATTTAATTGAAAATGGTACTCGCGAGTGTCCAAACCGGTGCAACGCAATACCAACTATTCGGTTTTCTTTCAATGTCCCCTCCACCCGGAAACATGTCGAAGTTATTGTTTTGTTTTAAAAAAATATACAAACTTTCAAAATAGAACGCAATAATTTTATAAACTCCTGCTCGAAATGTAGAAATAATGTGCTAGTGACAAAGAACTTTGGGACCAACTACGTAGTTTTTGTAGAACTGTGGCAACCTGGCAGGAGGCTCCTGAAGTGAACCGAATTTGAATAGATTTATTCTTGAAGGCCTGAAGCTGAATTGTTCGGAAATACCTCCGTGGGCGGCCGCTTCCCCCTGGGGGCGCTTTGCGCCAAAAACCCCCCTTTGTTTGTTGGTGGGGTAGCGGTGTTGGCCCCCTGGCTTCCCCCCGCCCCCCCCCCCCCCCCCGCGGGGGGTGCCCCCCCCCCCCCCCCCCCCCCCCCTTCTCTCCTCACCTGCATTAACATTTGCTCAAACGGAAGGAAACCGCGAGGAAACCGACATGTCTTAGACCCAAAAAGTCGACGGCGTGTGTCAGGCACTGACGCTGATCACCTACTTGGCTATTAGATTAAAAATGATCATGAAACAGATTCAGAAATCTGAGGCCAAGACCTAAAGAGGTTGTAGCGCCACTGATTTATTTTTATTTTTTTTATGTCGGTAGTAAAAATTTTGGGAAGATAAATCCAATAAATTATGACGTAGTGTAGTATGTTTGACGTTGACATTTACGTCACGTATTCTTTAAATATCAGCATAGCCAAACTAAAAATAATGTATCGTCTGCAAAACTGAAATTAAATTGCCAGTAATTTTCTACTGTATTTATTTAAATGACTTAATTATTAAGTTGTATTTGTAGGGAATACATTCTTTGTCATTTTAGTCACAAAAGCATTGTTGAAAACGTATCAAAACATGGAACTATTTCAATCACAGAAATATCCTATTTCAAGATTAGTGTTTTCAAAATGAACAGACTCTTGAGTGCGCGCCATAAATCTGAGTGGAGCTCGCTCCATTACTCTCCCGCGATATGTTTGTTCTGCTGACAACCTTTGTGCGAATCTCTAGGACTCTTTGGTATAGCCAGGTATAGATCTCACGTTCATACATTAATCTTCATATGGTATTTTTCCACCCTTATATCTTCAAAAGCTTATGTTTAAAGACAATCTGTACGAAGTTTTTTATACGTACAATCATTAATTAATCTGGCTGGTAGTAAACTAGTAAGCCTTATTATAAACTAGCAGACTCGGCCAAGCGTTGTTGTGGCTAAGGTTTTTGTTATATTACATAGAAGTAAACTATTCAAGGGAAACGGTAGGAGAACACCAGTCATGGGGACCACCATGCTTTTTGGTGGTTATGCCATTAAATTGTAGCTTATGTGAAACGTTGGTACTTTCAACACAGCGCCATCTGTTAGAATGGTGACTGTCAAATAGTAAACAAATAATTTGCAATAAAATAATATTGCGGGTATAAATTAAGATGTAAGCTATCCTATATTTTAAGTTAGATCAAACTGCACACGGTGTGCAAATTTGATTGAAATCGGTTAAGTGGTTTAGGAGTCCATAGCGGCAAACAACGTGACACGTAATTTATATTATTAAGATTTAATGGGCTCGTAGGGTGAGATCTATAGTGCGCTCTTTTGTTTTTTTTCAACTCGCTGAGACTTACCCACCAAAACTTTGCTTAGGGAAAACTAAGTAAACTATGATTTCGTATTTATAGACATTTTAACGGTGAGATTAAGCTAAGCCCAAGCTAAGACAGAAAAATGTCAAAATACAAATTGATGTTTCATTTCATGCAAAAAATACTTTGTTTATTATCCTTTAAAAAAGTTAACAATAAACAAATATTTAAAAATCTAAAACGGTACACATATATCCTTCAATTTATTGTTATTTATGTATTCATTTATTTTATTATTGCAATAACTAGAAATTCACGAGTAACACTTTAGAAAATGTATTAATTATTTAAAGATGACAATAATTTTATTACGGTGAGAACGGATCGCAATGTTTTGTTTTGTTAGGTTATAGTTTGAATTTCGTTGTCACTATAATATGCCAATTGCCAGGGCTGCCAGGTGACATACAAAAATCACACCAGTTATTTTTAAGATTTCTCAAAAATGGGGTTTGAAACAATTACATAAATAATATAAATAAACAACAATAAATACCATAATAATGTAAGTAATTATTTTTATTTCATGCATTTCATAGGGTATTTATCAAGATCATTTATAATTTCTTTGAATTCAAATTCTATTTTTCCCAAAGTCTATGGAAACTCCGATACAAAATGGCAACACCGTTCATTAAAAACCACAAAAATAAAAAGTCCAGTAAAAGATATGATGGTAAAGCAAATTTTGGGCCATTATTTGTTGGTAGGCTTATAGTCAAAGTTTTTGGTAAGTCGTCGATTTCGTGGACTTGAGATTAAGCCAAGCCAACACTAGGGAGAGATTCGTAGTTTGCTCTATAAATACCGACTGTGTCTTAGCTCGATAGTTAAGTCAGAGCAAAGTCTAAGTGCGCACTATAGATCCTCACCCTTAGACTTTTCAGGAAGGAAAGTACAAATATACCTGAAGGTATTTTTCAGCTTTAAATAGTAATATAGTACGTTTAACACACAATAAACTAGGTCACATCTAAAAGTTAGGTAACTAGACAAACCACACATTGTGTTTATGATAGTTTAATTTTTTTAATTAAATTACTAACAATTCGTGACAAAACATTTACGGAAGACTAGGTTTTAAAATATCTATCAAACTGCGTTCAATATGTACGATGTAAAAATGCACCGAACATGTATTCTTCGTGTGTCAATATAGTAGGGTAGCCCTGTACTAATCAACCCTTTTGCAAGGGTAATACTTTGAATCCCCTATTCATTATACACTTATATACTGTAATTTTATATGGTTTTGTTACTTAAGTATCTTTAGGTGAGATACTTCCTTAGGCCAAATGCTACATACTTAACTTTATATAATGCATTTAGCCTATTTAAATGACTTCTTTTTTCTCTCACTTAATAAATTTCTTTTAAAACCGTTTTAATTATAATTTTATTTAACATATAATAATACTTTTGCAATATTCTTAACCTACATATTAATAATAATAAATAGATCATAAAAACGATTTTAAAAAGTGTGGTAAACAGCAACAGTGAATTTTTAGATTTGCCGATTATAAGTTTCTGCTTGTCTAAGAATTATTGTAACTTGTAATTTAAATATTTAGCACGTGATAGTTTTAAATCAAACTAAAGTTAAGATATTTAATAAGTCAGACTTAACATAACGCTAAAATAAACCTTCCCGAAACCTTTTTTAAAATAAAGATTGATCAGTGTTTTACAAATTTAAAAAGGATTCTATGACTGATTAGATATACTCTTACATATATGTCACTAAGGCTTTAAATAAATTTTAAAGTACAGGCCGTAGTTCAATAATCAATCACAATTCTATTTCCTAGCAATTTCCATTACAACTCGCCTCGTTTAATTGGTAAATGAAGAGCAATTATGCTCGTGGGACTAGAGCACAATAATCGTCGATCTTCGATAATTTTTTTATTAGTTTTTATTAAGATTGACGTGAGAACGTGTTGTTATGCAATTTAAAAGCGGAAGCGAGCTATTGATTTTGTATAATTGTATAATTTAATATGGAAATTGTGTAGGGAAATGCAATTAATGGTTTAATGAATTAATCATTGAATTGTAATTAGTTTCTTATAAGCCTGGGTTATTTTACTTACAAACTAGCTTTGCTCTAAGTAGATTTTTTGCGTTATTCTACAAGTACTAAAAATATACCCAAAAATGGAATACATATTTTTACAAAAAGGTTTAAAAATAAAAAATTAAAAAAAACCATTTATTACGAAAATACACCATTTGGGGTGTGTTGGTATTGTTTGGTATGTGGTACGTACGTAAGGAGCTTATTCTAATACATAGATTAAATAAAACTTTTCAAAAAGCTTCTTAAATTCTTAATTTGAATTTGGGAACTTGTTTATTACGATCATTTTAATCAATGTTCGAATCTTATGGTGTGAGTCAAAACTGTGTGAATTGATACTGTTCTCATGCTGTTTAGGAATTTTCGCCATGTCGGCTCCGCGGCCCGGAAATGCAGACAAAGGTGGACATAGGACATCAACTAGCTACGCATACAAATGAATTCGGATCCTTTGTGAAATGTGCAAACACACTTCTTTCGTGTATTTAAAACAAACCTGTATAATTGCAGTATTTTAAATGGTTTTACTCAAAGTGTCATGATAATTGTTAATAGATAGTAGAGTAATAATTACATATATGGTTAACACTCATAAAACGTTTTAACTATGTTTTAGCCGGTAACCTGTTCTTTCTTTTTCTTTTAAACATGTTACGGTATATCTTTACTTGTATCTGTATTATTTTTAATAGAACGACATTATCATAATGTATTAAAACAATTTACTTGTTATATTTATTATTATAAGTACCTACTCAAATTATTATTTGAAGAATATAAAATAATATTATTTCATAACACAATTCCATTTACCGACTTAAAGAGCCTACGATTATTAATCGGCTTATAAAGAGAAAAGTAACTTTTGTATTTCTCTTTGTTCGTAATAGATACGAAGTCTTAAATTTTATATGAAGTCAAAATAAATAGCAGAAAATTCTCTATTTGTTGTGGTGGAAATGCCTTGAAGCGCGAAAAAGAGAGGTCTATGTGGAGCTCGAGTCACTCCAGGTGGTCTGATTTTCAGAAAACCGGAGTATCTAATACTACCTCGAGTATTTCCAAGATGCATTCTACTTCAGCGAAGTTATAAGGCGTCGACGAAATAAGGAGTCAATCACTCATAAGTGACAGATGAGGGAAC